GGGGTTATTGGTCAGATAAGTGCTATCACTTACAATAATCTCACAGAAATTCTGAAATAAATTTTGATTCGCAAATTGGCGACAGTAATGTATGTAGTGCACCTCATTAATCCCTAGTCCCAGCATCTTGTCCTAAGAAAACGGTGTTTATAGGGTTTTATGGGTGGGGAATTAGAATACGCAGTGGAATATACTTCAATAACTGCTATAAGAATTTTATGTTATTGTCCTTAAAAGTGTTGTTACTTTATATCTGTAGAATTTCCTTATCTGTATTATCACTTAACGTATTGCGGAAAAATCCTATTATAAAATTAGGAAATAAGGAGGTGGTCTACTGCAAATTACCTTAGGTACAACTTACCGTTCTGAGTTAGATGAGTATAGTCCGCGACGCGAAGCGCCGCGCACACGTTCAATTTACATGCGGATCAACTTATTTCCTGTGGCCGCGGAAACAAATTCGACTACACTTTGTCACTTTAAGCTCACTTCTAAAACTTTCCTTTCCTACCTATCCTGTTCCCCCAACCCCAAAATTCCTACAACCACCGGTTCCGTAGGAAAAAATAAGGCCTAATTAGAATTTTTATCCTCGAGAAAATGGTATATTTTGATTAATTGTTTTTATTATTAATATTAGGTTTTATAGAACTTTGAAGTTTTCAATCATACTACACAATATCCGCCAACTTATTGCCGTTGCGTATAAATGATACAACGCAATTCATGACTCGTGCAAAAGTTTGTGAAATTTGTGTAAATTCTTTCTTACCGAGTAGGGACCTATGTGATTTCCTACCGACACAATCTATAAAGTATGTCGTTTGGGAACCTTGATTTAAGGTGTCGCCGTCAGTAGGTTGTAACTTCCAATTCAAGTAATATGTTTGCATCGAATAAATGAGAAATGAAATCTTCTGTAGATTACCGTTTAGGCTATTCTTAGCATGAGAACACGAGAATATTCATTAAGTTTGGCATTGTAAGCAGTGTGACTTCGGACCAGATTTTCTTATTGCCAAGCCCTGTTCAGGCGCCCAGATAAGTAATCCTTGCCCAAAAACGGCATCTTTCGGCACACATTTAGCTTACTCGAAGTACAGCATTTAAGTGCGAAAAAGTATTCAATTAGAATCTTCCTATAGACAATAATGTTCTTAAAAATTATCTAAAGTAATGATGGCATGAAATATAGCCCAGAGTGTCCGCTGTTCCACCTGACGACTAATCAAAATCCACGCGCACACACACATACACGACAACATGTGTCTCCTGCTCTGCCAATGACAGCGGGCGTTTTCCCACCTGAAAGCGGCTAGCCGTAAACGCAGTGGTGATTTGCAGAGTCGCAAAGAGAACATCGAGGAGAAGGATTTGGAGATGCGTAAGAATGAAAGGAAAAGTTAAAGAAAGCAAAAAGTCGGGGGAGGGGGCGGGTGAGGAAACGTCAACATAAGAAGGAGCTAAGGGAAGCAGCAGCAGTCAGGATGGTAACTGTTCCTTAGACGTAGACCGTGTGCGGGCTCCCGCCAAATATGTATATCCTGGAGTTAGGGTTTACGGTAGGGTTATAGTTAAAATAAGGACTATGACTTACAGGGGATTAACTGCCTCGACAGGAACGCTACAGTAAATGTCGGTTCGGAAATGCTGTCCAAATAGGGTCGTATTACTGATTAACACACAGCCTATTCGTATGATCTTCCGTTCGCGTCAGGATGAGCTCTGTTCTGACTACCTACAGAAAAGGGAACTCTGTTAAAGTAGGTAGTATGCATTTCTACCATTCGTTTTCAACGGTTTACTAATGATAAAGCTAATACAATTGCAAAAAAATATTCCCTCTTGACTTGTTGAGTACAACATCAGATATTTTGACATTTTCGTCTTCAAAAAAATGGTATTTTTTGATTAAAAAATTATAAGATTTTATAGGATTTTGAAGTTTTCGCTTATAATTCCATAGTGCGTATAAGGTACCCAACGCGGTCCAGATCCATTACAGAATTTATTAAACTATGAAAGTTAAAGATGGCGTAATTTACGACCAAACGTGTACAAGAGGGACTTCTGTCGCGTCTGTTTTTGATAAAATCTAATT